CCAAACTTTTTTTTTTCTTCTTTTTAGATGGAACAAACCTATATTATTAGTGTGTAATTTTTCATTTTTCCTGAGCATATTTTGCCGAAGCTCTGGTTTTGGAACAAGTGTGTGGCCCATTATGTGACTTCAGATTCCATTTGAAAATTAGGGCCTGAACCACTACCATCTGCATGCATGGATGAATTTTTTTTTTAAAACAAAAAATTCTTTCTACAAGTTCCATGTCATTTTTTTTTTTCATTAGTTAATTAAGATTGTTCTACACCTAAATTAAATTATGAACGCAGATTGATAAATAATTAAGAAAAATTATTCATGCACACAATTTGTTCCCCTCAAAACCCTCCAATGACCGGGCAAACAAAATTTAAAAAGTTGACCTACACTCTAATATTTTCTCAAATCTCATCTTATATACATTCTGTCTTGCCACCTCATTCGGTAGACTTTGGGGAGAAAAAAATTATACGAATACAGCACTGCTAAATAATTAAATTGTAGTTTAGTAGTTTTAATTTGCTAGTTGATTGAACAATAATTTTAAACATTTATCAAATATTTACATAATCAATAATACTAATTTGCATAATATTATATACATATATATATATATATGTCTTAATTATAACAGAGTGAAACAATTTCAAAAGAAGATTATAAATTTTAAATCATAGATCAAATTAGCCCACACCTAATTAACGAATCAATGCAAATTAAGTGATTTTAACGAATTAGAAGATATTTTACAATGCACTATACAACACCATAGTACTCTTCCCTGCAACTATTTAGGGGTCTTCAAATTACTCAGTCAACCAAAGAACAAAATGGGAAGTTGGTTAAAAGTCAACTTTTTGACTTTTCAGTTTTTTTTAATCCCATTATCTCTCTATTTTTTTATACATTTTTTCAAAATAAGTTTAAAAAAAAAAAGGTCAACTTTTAACATACTTTTCAAAATACACTACAACAAAAAAGACATTTGATGACAAACTGATCTTGTCTCCAAACATCAAATTTTCGTCACCAAAGTCATCTATGATGAAAAAATTTTGTCATCACGTTCGTCATCTATTTGTCGTCGTAGGAAGTATCTAGTAACGAAAAATTATTTTGTTGCCTATTCTTCATTTTTGGGGACGAAATTTTTCGTCTTAGAATGTTGAAATTTTCGTCCTCTATAACATCCATTTCATCACTATAATTAAATATTATTTTATTTGTAATTGTTTTGGTGACGAAATATTTCGTCACAAAATATTAAGATAAAGGTTTTAGTGACAAAATTTATCCTCACCAATGATATAGATTAAGGTGACAAAAAAATTCGTCACTAAAATGAGCACAAAACAAAATTCTTCAATGACAAAAACAATTTTGTCACCAAATATTTCAAGTTAGTGACGAAATATTCAGCAAACATGACGAAATTATTTGTTGGAACTATATCATTAGTGACAAAATTATTCGTCAAGAAAAGTTGTTTGAAAACTAATAGCGACGGTTTTTTACTTTGTCGCTAATAATAATTAACATTTTTAAAAATAGGGGTAATATTTTAAATTTTAAATTTTTTTTTTCACTAAAAATTCCCTGCACATTTTAATAACATGTTTAATAAAATATCTATTACAGATCAATACAAAAACTTGTTCATCTTCATAACTACCACAGTTGAAATATACCGCATAATATCCACAAAAATACAATATCACTTGTGGATTACAAAACATGTCTCCTAATATCCACAAAAATATAATATCAAGTGCAAATTACCAAACATGTCTCCTAATATATAAAAAAATATAAACTTTACAACGCAACCAAAATACATGTAAGGTGATATTAACAAAAACACAAAATGAGCAAGTTATTGTTCTCTAGATTACCAAACACGTCCATCTCTAATCTCCAATCTGTAACAAAACAAAACAAAACAAAAAAGAAAAAAGAAAAAAAAAGAGGAAGACAATTACTATCTTATCAATAAAATATACAATTTAACATTTTTTGAAAAGTGCATTTTTCGACTTAATTTTCAAACCGGGAGTCCCGTGCTAGTTCCATAGGTTTCCACAACTTACATTGGTCCCTCCCGAGGTGTTCGAGGTGTTTCCCGGGCCTTTTCGTGGCTGTTTCACGATTTTGACCTCCAATAGTCTATTTTCAAGCCTAAATGTTGGAAAAAGTGTATTTTTCGACTTAGTTTTCAAACCAAAAGTCTCATGCTAGTTCCATAAGTTTCCACAACTTACATTTGTTCCTCTCGAGGTGTTCGGGGTGTTTCTTGGGCCTTCTCATAATTGTTTCACGATTTTGGCCCCTAATAACCTATTTTCAAGCCTAAGTGTTGGAAAAAAATGCATTTTTGGACTTAGTTTTCAAACTGAGAGTCCCGTGCTAGTTCCGTAAGTTTTCACAACTTACATTGGTCCCTCCCGAGGTGTTCGGGGTGTTCTCCGGGCCTTATTGTGGTTGTTTTATGATTTTGGCCCCCCCGATGGCCTATTCTCAAGCTTAAGTGTTAAAAAAATGTATTTTTCTACTTAGATTTCAAACCAGGAGTCCCGTGTTAGTTCTGTAAGTTTTCACAACTTACATTGGTTACTATAAGTTTGGAATACAATGGTAAATTTTTTGGAGTCTCGTGCTTGTTCTATAAGTTTTCACAATTTACATTGGTTCCTCTCGCGGTGTTCATGATATTTCCCGAGCCTTTTCATGCCTATTTGAAGCTTTCCCCCCCTCCCCAAGACTTATTTTCGTGCCTAAGCATTGGAATAGTGCAAATTTCAAAGTAGTTTTCAAATCAAGAGCCACGTGTGTAACACCCTCAAAAAAATAACATTAAACCCATCAAATAAGACATGCATTGATATATAAAAGTTCCACATTCTTCCATTTATCAGAATTCCATTACATAAGTATTACATGTTAACAACAAAAGCAAATGCCCTATGGACTTACAGCTTTCCAAGTTAACACTTGGTTACAACAAAAGAGTGCTAACTCATTTACACATTAAGCCCTTGGCTTGAATTTACATGTAATACATCAAAAATAAAGCGACAAAAGTATGTCCGCCTCTAGCCTCCCAAGCTATGTCCTTGAAAGTGGCATGCTACCTGTACCTGAAAATGATATTCCCATATAGGGTGAGCCACAGCCCAGTAGAAATACACTAAACCAACCATGAACAATGACTAAAAGATTAGCAATTGATAGATGGCCAACACTGATACATTCACATAAATCACATATTTATGTCATACGACTTATGAGTCCAAGCTTTCTTTTTATTTTCCCTTTTTCAACAGATAAGCATATAAGCTCTATCATCATCTCAACAGATATGTATAACAACAATATCCACATTCACAGATAAGCATATAAGCTGTATCCACATTCTCAACAGATATGTATAACAACAATATCCACATTCACAGATAAGCATATAAGCTGTATCCACATTCTCAACAGATATGTATAACAACAATATCCACATTCACAGATAAGCATATAAGCTGTATCCACATTCTCAACAGATATGTATAACAACAATATCCACATTCACAGATAAGCATATAAGCTGTATCCACATTCTCAACAGATATGTATAACAACAATATCCACATTCACAGATAAGCATATAAGCTGTATCCACATTCTCAACAGATATGTATAACAACAATATCCACATTCACAGATAAGCATATAAGCTGTATCCACATTCTCAACAGATATGTATAACAACAATATCCACATTCACAGATAAGCATATAAGCTGTATCCACATTCTCAACAGATATGTATAACAACAATATCCACATTCACAGATAAGCATATAAGCTGTATCCACATTCTCAACAGATATGTATAACAACAATATCCACATTCACAGATAAGCATATAAGCTGTATCCACATTCTCAACAGATATGTATAACAACAATATCCACATTCACAGATAAGCATATAAGCTGTATCCACATTCTCAACAGATATGTATAACAACAATATCCACATTCACAGATAAGCATATAAGCTGTATCCACATTCTCAACAGATATGTATAACAACAATATCCACATTCACAGATAAGCATATAAGCTGTATCCACATTCTCAACAGATATGTATAACAACAATATCCACATTCACAGATAAGCATATAAGCTGTATCCACATTCTCAACAGATATGTATAACAACAATATCCACATTCACAGATAAGCATATAAGCTGTATCCACATTCTCAACAGATATGTATAACAACAATATCCACATTCACAGATAAGCATATAAGCTATATCCACATTCTACAACAGATATTGTTGATATACATATTTGTTGTAGAATGTGGATAAGCATTATATGCTTATCTGAGAATGTGGATATTATTGTTATACATATCTGTTGAGAATGTGGGTAGTGCTTATATGCCTATCCGTTGAAAAAGGGAAAATGAAAAGTAACTTGGACTAA